CATGGCTGGGGAGCAGGGCAAAGGCGGCCCAAGGGCCATCTTTGCCCTGCCCCCCAGCTATTAGCTCGCCCCTGGGTTTATGATCACTGTCAGTGGCAGGGGGCTTCTTCCTGCTTTCCCTTTCGCCTCCCTGCATTGTGCCTACATATGCAAATTAACTGCCAACTAAGATGGCGGTTAATTTGCTTATAGCCCTGATTAGGCAATGAAAAGTGTAGCGGTCATACGCCAATTACCATTTTTCTCTTTTATTAGTGTAGATTTTTTATTTATTTAATATATTTTATTGCTTTCAGAGAGGAAGGGAGAGAGAAAGATAGAAACATCAATGATGAGAGAATCATTGATTGGCTGTTCTCCTGTATGTCCCCTACTGGGGGGCGGGGGGGCGGAATTGAGCCTGCAAACGCGGGCATGTGCCCTTGGCCGGAATTTAACCTGGGACTCTTTAGCCTACAGGCGGATGCTCTATCCACTGAGCCAAACCGGCTAGGGTTCTGTTCTCTGTTGAATGTAGCCTAATGTTTCTCATTTTTTCTAAAGGAAACCCAGAGACCATGGCAGCTTTGCCATTGAAACCTTTTCTGTTTTTGGATGCAAAGTTATTTTGTATACTCACAGCCTGACCAGAGATTTCAACATTTTATTTTCATGGCACACATGAACTAAATACTGAAACTGAGTGGTCCACCAGAATATATAATTTGTCACTCTGCTAAAAAAAAAACAAAAACAAAAAGAACAAGTCTGATTTTGATCCATACGCACCACACAGCTGTTACTGTGTTTGCTGTTGTCACTTATTTTATTTGATAAGATAATCTATGGGTAATGTAGTCTTTGTTATTGACTAAGCAGTCACTAATAGTTTTTAAAACAATTTTTAAATTGTTTTAAAAATTCTTTCAGCACACCAGTTTGCCCATATGACAGTCCTGTTTGTTATGGGTTCAATCAGCAAGATAGACCACCGACTCAAAATTTAAATTTAAGAGCCTTTATTAAGCTGGCCAGCTGACTACAATTGTGTCCCTCCCGTAGGAGCCTCACAACTTGCAGTGTTGACCGAGAGTACAGCAAGACCTTTTATCTGCAAAGACTTCGAAGTATTTTTTGTTTTTTAAAAAAACAAACTGCAAAGTGGTTCATGAGCCGTTCCTGGTACTGGCAGGGTAAAAAGTTTACATAAAATTTATGAGCAGGGTCACACCTGGCTGGGTTCAATCATAACACATTGCTTTTCTAGTGAGATAATTAGCAATTTTTCTCTCCCGTGGTCCCTGCCCCGCAGCCTACTCAGAAATTCTTCTTTGTCAGGCCTCTGCCCTAGCACATTCCCTACTGGTCTTATGCCCGAATCAAATCTTTGATTCAGCGTCCTCCTCTAAGATTCTGGAATATTGGGTGTGTAGGACCATGAGCTTGACAGCTTGGATTCGGTCTTGGATAAAATTGAGGAGACACCTGAGCAGGCAGGGTCCGAAAATGAGACCTACTATTAGGAGAAGGAGGGCCCTGCCACAGCGGATAGGAGGGTTGTGAGCCACGGGGACCAGGAGAACAAATTCTCATACCAGTTCCCCTCTGCCCTACGGGCCTCTTCTCTGTCCATCAGCCATTTCCTTAACTGACTTAAACTTTCTCTGATTACCCCGGAATGGTTAGTGTAGAAGCAGCACGCCTCCCCTAATGCTAGACACTGTCGCCCTTGTTTCAGGAAAAGTAGGTCAAGTCCCCTCCTGTTCTGTAAGACTACTTCAGCTAAGGACCCTACTGATTCCTCCAACTGTCCTATGGATTTTTCTAGGGTACTCAGGTCTTGGTCAATTTGATTACCCAATTCTTTGTAATTTTGATGTCCTGTCACTAGGGTAGCTGTCCCTACCGCCGTGGATCCTGCAATTCCGAGTCCTACGAGTAAGGGAACCAGAACCGGGGCTCTCTTAGTCAGCCGAGGCTCTATGAGGAGGTGTTCCCTTCCTCCTTCCCCTGAGTCATAATACACTTGCGACTGGATATGAGTTAGGATGCAGAGCCCTGGCTCGGGCCCAGTCTGGAAGTTTAGGGAGAGTATGCAAGGGGTGATTCCGGTGATGCATGCCCACCAGGTACCATTTGGGGCCACCAGGAACCAGGGGGCCTGGACCCTGGTCTCTCCGGAAGTCGGAGTGTCTGGTTACAATTTTCTGCATAGGGGGAATAGGGGAGGGAGTAATTGGCAGGTGCGACACACAGCCCAGCTCCAGTAATATCACCTAAAGTTAATCCCCTCCTTCCATTTCCCCATACACATAGTCCCGGGGTTTCTGCATCCGCGGACACGTTGCGAACGTGGGCCGCACTTGCCCCAAATGGAGCAGAAGCTCCGATCCCTACGTAATAGGGGGGCTCGGGGTTGAGGCACAACCAGCAGTTTGCAGTAAGATCAGGCACACTTTTTTTTTTTTTAAGTATTTTATTTTATTTTTTAAATATATTTTATTGATTTTTTACAGAGTGGAAGGGAGAGAGAGATAGAGAGTTAGAAACATCGATGGGAGAGAAACATCGATCGGCCGCCTCCTGCACATCTCCTACTGGGGATGTGCCCGCAACCCAGGTACATGCCCTTGACCGGAATCGAACCTGGGACCTTTCAGTCCGCAGGCCGACGCTCTACCCACTGAGCCAAACCGGTTTTGGCGATCAGGCACACTTTTGTTCAGAAGTTGGAATGAGGCTTCCATCGGCGCGAAAATGTCTGGTCTCAGCAGAGCTCCCCAAGGCGGAGGCCAGGTTACTGCATCCTGGAGACTTGCCTCAGTCTCTGATGATGGTGGTGGCAGGCTCCTCACAGGTGGGGCTGGGCTTGGTCTCCTGACCTCAGGTCGCTGATGGGCCAGAGGGCCAATTGGGGTATTTGGGAAATACCCTGACCAATTGGTGGTCGGGGTATTTCCCGTCGCTGGATAGTAAATAGTACGCCAGGGTCTGGTCCAGAGACATATAGCCTCAATCCCCATGTCTTTCCCCTGGTCCAGTCTCTGGCCCAATATGCCACTGGTTTGATGACAATGGGGTTGCAGTTTCCAACAGTACAGTTCCTTTCCGGGGCCCCTGGCCGCACCTGTCGGGTGAATCGTATGTCCCTGTCCGGAAGCTTTGGGGGCCATTGGGCATAGGTTTCACAGCCCCACTGTCCACAATAATAATCCTCCTGGTCCCCACACTTCAGAAAGGGAATCCGGGGCTGGCGCGGGCAGACATATGGGGGAGTACGCCATAGTTGTTGCTCAGTCCCTCGGGTCCCGCAGCCATAGGTGGTTGTGGCCCTGTGTGTAGCCATTCCCCCGGGGATCCCCAGCTGCGACCCGGCTGGGCCCAAATTCATGAGCCTAGGTCTGTCCTGGGGCAGGTTCCAATCCTCCCCGAAGAGGCTACACAGGTCAAACCGGAGAGTCGGTTCACCGGTGCCAGTTTCTCGGGCCAGTACTACCCCGTCCGTGGTGCGGATCACCTCCCAGGAATAATGTGGGGCCTGGTGGGAAAGGGGCTTACCGAACCTCCACATAACAGCCAGCAGCAGTAGATAGATCATGAGGCAGGAGCTAGTTTCACCTTTAGTGAGTCCTGGGTTAGTTTCACTTTCCACCTCCTGGGGCTGTCACCGCTGTCAGCCGCCTTCACTTGGGTGCAATGGATCCAGTGCCTCTTTCCTGCAACTTTGATGGCGGTTGGAGTGCTCAGCACCACCTGGTAGGGTCCATCCCATCTAGGTTTCAGGCTGCCAGGGTCGTGACACTTCACCCAAATGCAGACATGATATGAAAACGACAGAAACATGACATGAAAACAACAAAAACATGATATGAAAAAAAAAACATGATATAAAAACAACAGTGATGCAAACAATGACTGATAAAGTGATTAAACTTATTCTAATATCTCCCTGTACACCACATTAAGAGTGAAAACACTTTCAGAGTGCTTGGCTAATTTCCCTTGTATTTAACTGTAACGTCACATGCTCTTCAATAAAGCAACATATAACTGACCATGTGCAAAAATGGGTTCAGGTAGGAATATGCCTCCTTTGTCTAGAATTTGTCCTTGTGATTTTTTAAAATATATATTTTATTGATTTTTTACAGAGAGGAAGGGAGAGGGATAGAGAGTTAGAAACATCGATGAGAGAGAAACATCCATCAGCTGCCTCCTGCACACCCCCTACTGGGAATGTGCCTGCAACCATGTTACATGCCCTTGACCAGAATCGAACCTGGGACCCTTAGTCCACAGGCCGATGCTCTATTCACTGAGCCAAACCATTAGGGCTGTCCTTGTGATTTATTACTAGTCATCACAAATTTTGGCATCACGAGAAACTGTTGTCAAATCAATTTAAATAGGAGGCCAGTGTCAGATGGGGATTAATTCTTGGAATCAGAACAACCTCTCCCTCTGCAGATCCTGTTAATACTTCAGCTTCGATAATGTTAGTTCCTAATCTTTTGATAACAAATCTGGTACCATTACAAAGTAATTTTAATTTTCAATTTTAATTTATGAAATGGCATTCCCGAAGGAATAATACTATTAAGAAATTGAATGGGAAAATTTTCTTTTTCAGCATCATCTGTGGAATCAATGGAATTATCAATCAAATATGTATGAAAATCTACACCGAGTATATCCCAATTTTCTTCATTTAATTTTTGAACATGCTCATTTTTTGGACAAAGAATTGCACGTTTATTATCTATAGCAGTGGTTCTCAACCTTAGCTGCACATTAGAATCACCTGGGAATCTTTTTAAAATCCTGATTTCTGGGCCTCATCCACCGGAAATTGTTTCTTTGTTATGGGGTGGGGCCATTACATTAGTAACAAAGAAATAGAATTTCCAGAGGATGAGGCAAGGCTCTGGCTTAGGCTCTGGCCCCGCCCCCATCGCTGAGTCGCTCAGCTCAGGCTCTGGCCCCGCCCACCCCGTAGGGAGGCGCCTGCGCAGTTCCTTGCAGACGCGGAAGCGGCTGTGGAGGGAAGGTGGCGGTTCTCCCTGAGGTGGGTGTTTGTGCTTTAAAGCTGACGCTCCCCGCCCCCCTCCCCGCAGGGAAGGCTGAGGGCGCTGCGGCCGCTGGAGTCCTTGCTTCGGTCCCCTTCCCGGAGCCTCAGCGGTGAGTCCGCGTCCCGGGAGGCTGCACGGTACGGGCGCCACGTGCCTTTGGGAGGAAACGGATTCCCCGGCCCGGGGTCTCTCCGCCTGTGGCTGTGGCCACCGCCTGCCGCGCGGTTTTTCTGCTGAAAACCGTTCCCGGGGCCGCCGGTCCTCCCAGCGGCGCTGAGAGTCTGGGTCAGGGGGTTCCCGCCCTCTGCGCCCCTCCCCCCGCCCGGCGGCTTCCGCCCAAAGAGCCCTGATGCACCCCACCTCCTAGCCCCACCTCAAAGGCTTGGGAAACCTGCACGCGGACAAGTTCTTGCTTCTCCCCCTCCCACTCCCCACATGTCTCAGGGCTGCTGGGTCTGGTGTCTGGTACCCAGCGCCCCTGAAAACAGCACTGGGGCAGCCTGGGAGGCCGAGGAGGGAACTAAAATGCCGGTCAGGGCCCCCAGGGCAGGCTTTGTTCAGGGAAGGTAAGGGGTGCTCTGTTGGGTTGGGGGTTCAGCAGAGCAGCACATGTGCTCATTCCTGTAGGAGTTTGTGGAAGTGTTTGACACATGAAGACAGAAAAAACACCTCAGTGTGGTCTCCATGTAGGAGCTCATTGTTCCTCACTCTCTCCTGTGACAAAGGACAGGAGGGCGTGGCCTTTTTCTCATTTCCAGGTCCTTCTGACTGTGTGAGGGGAGCTGATTAACAGGCTGTGGGGACGCCTTTGAAGGCACATTCTGTGACTCAACATATTGTCTCCTGAGGAAACAACCCAGACCCCATCAGGACCATAACAAAATGGCTGCTTCTCAGGTAAAAGATGTGTCCTGGGTCAGAGGCTCTGTTTGCTTTTCCTCTAAGATTTGTTGATATATTTGTCTTTCCCTCCTGCCTGTGTCCCATCTGCCCCTTTTACACTCTGTCCTGTTACCTACAGCTAGCTCATTCACAGTGCTGCTTTTCCCTCTAGTTTGTCAGCCCTAAACCCCCCTTGCTGTCCCTGCTCCTGCTCCCCCAATTCTTCTTTCTGAACTGATCTGTCTGAAGTGCCTCCCCTTTGTTGCCCCCACTTCTTTTCACCAGGACCTCTCTCCCTCTTAGCTCCCCTTCATCACTCTGGGGCTCCTTCCTCTCTTCCATATTTCTCTACTTCTGTTGTTCTTGCCTTTGCAGGTTGTTTTCCTTTCCTTATTTCCTTCCTTTTTTTCTTGTGACTTTCAACAACAACAGTGTCTAAATTTCCCTTTCTCTTTTTTAATATTTGTTTTTATTAATTTCAGAATGGAAAGGAGAGGGAGAGAGAGGTAGAAACAGTAATGAGCAGACAGAATCATTGATCAGCTGCCTCTTCCACACCCCACACTGGGGATCAATTCTGAAACTGGGAGTGTGCCCTGTCCAGGAGTGGAACCCCGCTTTCCTGGCTCAGAGGTCAACGCTCTACCTCTGAGCCTCATTGGCCCGGCTATATTTCTCTCCTTGTTCCCAGAGCCTTCTCTGCCTTCATTTTATGCAGCCTCCAGAAGGTCAGGAAGCATTCCCACCTTTAATTAATGACTCTCAACTACTCAAAACATCCTTTTGATGACAGATCCACCTGGGAAGGCATCCATGTCTAACATCCCTATTGGGATGGGGTCAGAGGCTTTTGTGTCTTGAAGAAGGGAAAGGTAGGTTTTAGGTTCAAGAGACTTCAGCATCAGCTCATGATCGGGAGTAAGAAAATGCTCATTTTACTCCTCAGAATAGCTCAGCAAGTTCTTAATGAAGAGTAAATAGTAAATAGAAGAGACTTCCTCACTAGATTAGGGTGAAAGTTTTGGTACTTAAATATACTGTCAGCTTACAGAACATGAGAGGTACCCGTGGGTTGGCACTTGCAAGAATTAACGTTTATTTTGATCATTTCCACATAATGAGTTCTTTATTGAGGTATTTTTGGCAGTAATGTCACAGCAGTGGTGACCTGACTTTCTGTGTGCCTCAGTCACCTGATGCCCATGGTCTCAGGGTACCTGATGATCACGGTGCAGAGATGCTCCTTTCACTGTAGAGTTAATAGTCTCCCTTTCTCAGGAACAAGGGTATAGTAGGGGTTTAATGAAAGTTGTGCAAAGACCATCACTTCACATCAGGAAATGTGCTTCTTAGTTTGTGTTTGCTTTGGAAAATGAAAGACTTACTTTTATTTCCTACAGATCATTGGCTTTTTCATGGGATCCTTAAACAATCAGACCTTGATTCTTTAACTTTTCATTATATTCTATACTCACATCAGAGACATACCCTACATGATCACTTTTTGTATTTTCTAGAAAGTTTCCAAGAATGATATTATTAATGTACTAGAGGCCCAGTGCACAAAAATTTGTGAACTCGGGGGGAGGGGGGGGTCCCTTAGCCAGGCCTGTGCCCTCTCGCAGTCTGGGACCCCACGGGGGATGACCACCTGCTGCTTTAGGCCCACTCCCCGGATGATTGGGCCAAAGATGGCAATCAGACATCCCTCTTGCAGCCCTCTGGGGATGTCCACTTGCCAGCGGGGAGCAGACCTAAGCTGCAGTCAGACATCCTAGCGCTGCTGAGGAGGCAGGGGAGGCTCCCACCACCACCACTGCACTGGCAGCCATCAGCCTGGCTTGTGGCTGAGCAGAGCTCCCCCTGTTGGAGCCCACTGACCACCAGAGTGCAGCTCCTGCATTGAGCGACTGCCCCCTGGTGGTCAGTGTGTGTCATAGTGACCAGTCATTCCCAGTCTTTCTGCTGTTAGGGTCAGTTTGCATATTACCCTTTTACTATAAAGGATAGAGGCCTGTTGCACGGGTGGGGGCCGGCTGGTTTGCCCTGAATGATGTCCCGGATCAGGGTGGGGGTCCCTCTTGGGTGCCTGGCCAGCCTGGGTGAGGGGCTGATGGCTGTTTGCAGCTAGTCACACCCCCTTCAGGGTAGGGGTCCCCACTGGGGTGCCTGGCCAGCCTGGATGAGGGGCTGATGGCTGTTCTCCGGCTGGCTGGTGACTGAAGCTCCCAGTCTCCTTTTTTCTTTTTCTTTTTTATTCTGGGATTTATTTACCTTTTTTTAAAAATTTTTTTTATTGTTTTATTGCTTAAAGTATTACAAAGAGTATTACATATGTCTCCTTTTTTCCCCGCCCTTAACAATCCCCTGGCCTCCCCTACTCCCCAGTGTCTTATGTCTATTGGTTATGCTTATATGCGTGCATATAAGTCCTTCGGTTGATCTCTTACCCCCCACTCCCGCTCCCCAACCCTCCCCAGCCTTCCCTCTGTAGTTCGACAGTCTGTTCGAGGCTGCTCTGCCTCTGAATCTATTTTTGTTCATAAGTTTATAATGGTCTTTATTATCCATAAATGAGTGAGATCATGTGGTATTTTTCCTTCATTGACTGGTTTATTTCACTTAGCATAATGCTCTCCAGGTCCATCCATGCTGTTGCAAATGGTAAGAATTCCTTCTATTTTACAGCAGCATAGTATTCCATCATGTGGATGTACCACAGTTTTCTAATCCATTCATCTACTGATGGGCACTTAGGCTGTTTCCAGCTCTTAGCTATTTTGAATTGTGCTGCTATGAACATAGGGGTGCATATATCCTTTCTGATTGGTGTTTCTGTTTTCTTGGGATATATTCCTAGAAGTGGGATCACGGGGTCAAATGGGAGTTCCATTTTTAGTTTTTTGAGGAAACTCCATACTGTCTTCCACAGGGCTGCACCAGTCTACAATCCCACCAGCAGTGCACGAGTGTTCCTTTTTTTCCACATCCTCTCCAGCACTTGTTGTCTGTTGATTTGTTGATCATAGCCATTCTGACAGGTGTGAGATGGTACCTCATTGTTGTTTTGATTTGCATCTCTCAGATGATTAGTGACTTTGAGCATGTTTTCATATGTCTCTTGGCTTTCTGAATGTCCTCTTTTGAAAAGTGTCTCTTTAGGTCCTTTGCCCATTTTTTAAAAAATATATTTCATTGATTTTTTTACAGAGAGGAAGGGAGAGGAAATAGAGAGTTGGAAACATGGATGAGAGAGAAACAGCGATCAGCTGTCTCCTGCACACTCCCTACTGGGAATGTGCCCGCAACCAAGGTACATGCCCTTGACCGGAATCGAACATGAGACCCTTGAGTCCATAGGCTGATGTTCCATCCACTGAGCCAAACCGGTTTGGGCCCTTTGCCCATTTTTTGATTGGATTGTTTATCTTCCTTTTGTTAAGTTGTATGAGTTCCCTATAAATTTTGGAGCTTAAACCCTTATCGGTGATACCATTGGCAAATATGTTCTCCCATGCAGTGGGCTTTCTTGTTGTTTTGTTGATGGTTACTTTTGCTGTGCAGAAGCTTTTTATTTTGATGTAGTCCTATTTGTTTATTTTCTCTTTAGTTTCCAATGCCCTAGGAGCTGTATCGGTGAAGAAATTGGTTCAGCATATGTCTGAGATTTTGTGGCCTTTGGATTCTTCTAGTATTTTTATGGTTTCCCGTGGTACATTTAAGTCCTTCATCCATTTTGAGTTTAGTTTTGTGTATGGTGTAAGTTGGTGCTCTACTTTCATTTTTTTGCATGTATCTGTCCAATTTTCCCAGCACCACTAATTCAAGAGACTGTCTTGACTCCGTTGCATGTTCTTGCCTCCTTTGTCAAATATTAATTGAGCGTATTGGTACAGGTCAATTTCTGGGTTCTCTATTCTGTTCCATTGATCTATATGTCTGTTCTTGTGCCAATACCAGGCAGTTTTGAGAACAGTGGCTTTGTAATACAGCTTGATATCTGGTATTAAGATCCCACCTACTTTGTACTTTCTCCTGATTGCTGCAGCTATTCGGGGTCTTTTTTTATACCAGCTGAATTTTTGGAGAGTTCGTTCTAGGTCTGTGAAATATGTTGTTGGTATTTTAATGGGAAGTGCGTTGAATTTATAGATTGCTTTGGGTAGTATGGACATTTTAATGATGTTGATTCTACCAATCCATGAATACGGTATGTTCTTCCATCTGTTTATGTCTTCCTCTAACTCTCTTTCCAACGTCCTGTAGTTTTCTGAGTAGAGGTCTTTTACCTCTTTAGTTAAGTTTATTCCTAGGTAGCTTAATTTTTTTAGTGCGATGGGAAATGGGATTGTTTTTTGAGTCTCTCTTTCTGTAAGTTCACTATTCGTGTATAGAAATGCCATAGATTTCTTGGGGTTAATTTTGTATCCTGCTACATTGCCAAATTCATGTATCAAGTCTAATAGTTTCTTGATGGAGTCTTTAGGATTTTTCATGTATAATATCATGTCATCTGCAAATAAGGACAGTTTTACTTCTTCTTTTCCAATTTGGATGCCTTTTATTTCTTCTTCTTGTCTAATCGCAATGGCTAATACTTCCAGTACTATGTCGAACAGGAGTGGTGAGAGTGGGCATCCCTGTCTTGTTCCTGTTCTTAGAGGAAATGGTGTTAGTTTTTGTCCATTGATTATGATGTCGGGTTTGAGTTTGTCATATATATATGGCTTTTATTAAGTTGTATGATCCTTCTATTCCTACCTCGCTTTGAGTTTTTATCAAAAATGGGTGTTGGGCCGGAAACGGTTTGGCTCAGTGGATAGAGTGTCGGCCTGCGGACTGAAGGGTCCCAGGTTCGATTCCGGTCAGGGGCATGTACCTGGGTTGCGGGCATATCCCCAGTAGGAGATGTGCAGGAGGCAGCTGATCGATGTTTCTCTCTCATCGATGTTTCTAACTCTCTATCTCTCTCCCTTCCTCTCTGTAAAAAATCAATAAAATATATTAAAAAAAAA